ATCGTTAAATGTAAATATAATGTTGACAAGATTCCATTACTGTGACAAACCTCAAACACATTCAGCTTTGAAGAAGGGAATATTTTGACTCCTAGTTTGAGGACTTTCCATCTATGTTTACTCAGTTCGGTTGCTTGGTACTGGTGATAGCACAGTCCACCCTGTCAGAAATGTGTAATAGAAAAGAGCTGTTAATTTAATAGAACTGAGAAGCAAAGAAGAGGGGGGCAGGTGGGAACCTTTTTGTGGTCACACATCCAATCACGTAGCTCCTTTTCCCTCTTTTTCATGCCTCCGAAATGTTTCCCTAAGCTCACAGAGCATGCATGAAAGGCAAGAAACTAAGGCCTTTTAACACATCTAAGACCCAACCCACAAATCAAAATAGCACATACCGTTAATTCCAGCACTCAAACGAAGAAGGACAGGCAGATCTCTGTGAGCTCAAGGACACCTGATCTACAACGCAAGTTCTGGGCGAGTCAATGATACGTAAGAAGGACTCTGACTCAAAAGAGGGAAAGAGATAAAAAGAATGATGGCCAATAAAATATGCCCCCAGGGATAAAGGCATATGAAGACACAGAAACTTGGCCATTGGCAAACCAACAATGACAGCTGTAAAAAAAAAATCAACTATTCTGCAATTTTTTGTTTTGTGTTGTTTTGTTTTTGATGACAAAGAGAAACATGAGAATTGTTTGTGTTGCTAGAATCAAAATTTAAAAATTACAAAAGTTACCAATTTTGAGTTTGGTTTAAATTGTAGGACACTAAAATAATTAATTGGAACAAATTAACCCAAAGTAAATTAAAACTCAGAAGCACAAAAAAATATGGACTAAAATTAGTAAGGTAAAATGACATGAAGCAGACCATATCAAAACAAGCCATATTTTGAATCCTTGACAGTTAAAGTTCAATGAAATTTATAACCTTCTATCTTATTAAAAAATAAAATTTTTCCCCCACCAAAATTAAAGACATGACATCTAGGTCTTCCTGACATTAGAGGGATAATATATCTTTATAACAACCTCTGACAAATATGTTTGATACATAGACAAAATAGAATAATTCCTTGATTAAAAATAGACTAAAATTGACACCAGAAGAAATAGAAAATATAAATACTCTGATGTCTATTAAAGTCTGACTTCAGTCTTCAAAATATTGCCACCAAGAAAATTCTATAATGTTTGTCTCATTGATAATTTGTTTCAAATATTTTAAAAGAAAAAACACTAACAATCTTAATAAAGTCTGAGAAATAAAGGATAGGCAAATACTTTTGAATTGTCTTTGTGAGACTTCATGTGTCACTCTCATACTAATGTTTTATAAATATGGGATAAATAAACTAAAAATAGGAATTACTCATTAAGTAGAAAAGTCATTAATCAAATATTATCAAATGAAATCTAGGAAAATATTTAAAGTACAAGATAGTCTTCAAATTACTATTATTAAAGTACTACAAATTATGAAAGTACAAGATAGTCTTCAAAGGTGTAACCCATGAGAACATGCTTTATTTAGAATTCAAATTTGATTAATATTATTTACCATGTTATAACAAAATAGGAAAAATCAAATCAATAAGGTTGTCTTCATAGAGAGAGAAAAACACTTTTCAAAACTCAATACTTGCTTAAAATATAATAAAGAACATTTACAAACATTCAAAGTTATGAAAACAAGCATAATGATTGTTTTCAGAAAGAAGTAAACAAGTATAAATATAAATAACAAATAAAAATAGTAGTACTTTAGCTATGGATACCAAAACATTTTCCAAAAGAAGTACAAGTTCCATACAAACAAACAGAGCACCGTTGTCACAGATTGGGAAACTCATTGTTATCCCTAATTTTTTATAAATTCATTTACAGTAAGCACAATTATATTATTATCTGGTCCGACACTTTTAACCAATTATAAATTGATATTGATATATAAAGATTCCTGAACTAAAAGAGCCACAGGATTCTTTGAAAAAAAAGATGAAAATTTTAATATTTTACATTTTATTTCAACACTTAATGGTTAGTGTAAATAATAACTATAAATAGTGGTTTTAGTGAAAGGACAGACAAATCCATGGGATGGAATAAACTGTGGAAATAAAAATGTGAAAGTTTTCCAGCTGACTTTAGACCATGGCTCAGGGCCATTCAGAACATAAGGCAAGTGTATTTAAAAAGTGACACTTGGGCCGAATGATGGTGGCCCTATCACTCAGGAGGCAGAAGCAAGTAGATCTCTGTGAGTTCAAAGCCAGCCTCATGTATCAAAGAAACCCTGTCTCAAAAAGAAAAAAAAAAAGGACACTTGAGCTGCTATCTCCATATCTGCCTCCACAACATACAAAGTAAAATAAAAATGAATGCTACACCTAAAAGCAAATAGTCAAAATTAAGTGTCTGTAATAACACACAGTGGAAAATCCTCATGAGAGAGGCATAGACGGAGAGCTCAGGTAAAACACAAATTGTAAGTCACAAAAGGTGAAAAATCAAATTAGACTTTCTGAAATACTAAAACCCATGCTTTAGAGGCCAATAAGAATATTAAAAGGCAAACCAAAGAAATGCAGAAAATATACATATTACATATATCTAATATTGAAGAACTGGTATCTAGACTATGTAAGCAATTTTTACATCTCAGTAATTAAATACTTATAATCACAAATGAGAAAATGTGTTATGTCCTGTTTCCATGTGAATAAATTTAAGACTTCAGTTTTATTATGTAATGGTTTCTCGGTATGTCAGTGTGTGGCTGAAAGACACTTCATGTACCTTAGCTCACTCTGCTATAATTTCTAGTTTCCCTCTAGTAAAGACAATCCAGTAGGATGTGCACACACACACACACACACACACACACATTTAATTTTTTCATAAGTATGCCTTTATAGCTGTAGAATATATGAGTCAAAAGGATAAACATGTTAAATGTTTAAACTTGAAATATATCAGTTAATATTATTATTGTATTTGAATTTCAATTTATACTTCTGAAGATAGTATGTGAACACTCATTTCTTTCTAACCTTGCTAATTCTTGGGTAAAACTAAATGAACCAATTTTGTTAACCTAAAAGCAAAACATGATATAGTTGTAATTTTAAGCAATTTTCATTTCCTTGCTTACTATTGAAATTAATTGTCCTTGCTTGTATTTATTGACAGTTTTAAGATTTTATTATATTCATTGCCTGATTCTTGGCTGGTATTTGCTGTTATTCCTGATAAACAACTCTTGATCATTTATTACTGCCTTCTCATATGAGTTCAATTTATATTCTCAAGGTTAGAAGGTGTGTGTGTCTATTTGTATGTGTGTGCGTATTTGTCTGCTACACCAATATATTACAAATTCAAATAATATAATTATTTTTCATTCCTAGTTTCTAATGTCATTCATAAAAATGTTTAACTCTAACATAAAATTGAATTTTATTCTAGGCATATATGTATATCTCCAATTACTTATATTCCTCAGTGCATTTTATACATCAATAACAAAAAGTTACTTTCAAGTAGGTTTCAAAGTAGTTCCTTACTCAGTGTTCATATTTTACATCAATATCACATGGTCTCATAATTTCACATATTTTATAGTATTATTATCACTCATAGTTTTATCAGTTCTGATTGGATTACCATGTGTGTTTGTCATGAAAGCATAATTTTATAGTGCATTACTGACATGGTATGCAATATAATATATAATAACATATAACTGAGCTCTGACATTTTCAATTCTAATTTTCCTCTGTAACAAACAAAGTAGAAAATTTAAAACTTAAGAAATACATAGAACTTATGCCAATTTTTAAACCACCCTGAAGAATCAAATAAAATTTACTTAAGATGTGTATACGTACTGACTCAATATTTCAACTTTATAATTAATATTTAAGTTCAAAATATTTTTGTAGTGGGTCTTTATTGAGAATATGTCTATAACATTTACTTTTTATCTAAATATAGTTTGCTTAGTGAGTTGAATTTGGACTCATTTGGAGGATTTAGTACCTGCCATAATAGTTCTGAAAATTGCTTGTCAAGTTAATTCTAAGGAATTTTATTATTCACTAATGCTGTTGAGTGAAAGGAGCTTCACAATATGAGAATAAAGCTATTTGTTCTGTAACGTGCTAATTTTCTTGCTGTTTGGTGTATTAAAAGTTTTGTTTTCTTACAACTGTATCTTCCCTATCGTAGATATTTAAGCTAGCATCATAAAAGCAATACTTTTATTGTAGTCACAGTGGTTTCTCAAGCATGTGTCATCCCTGCAAGAAACACAATGGCAGAGGGGGAAGTCAGGCAAACATGGCTACCTCAAATAAGCAAGTTGGCTCAGTCAAGATTCACTGAACTCTGACAGAGGAATGCCTTAAAATTAAAAGCTACTTTTTATTAAGTATATACATGTGAAGAAAAAGTTCTCAGCACCTTGCAGCAGATGTTAACTGATTTGAATATTGGACTCAAGGCCTGTTGTTGAAACTTCCATTAGCTTCATTTATAAAAGAGGATAATCTATTTCCCAAAAAGTAGAGACGCAGACACTCATTCACACAGAACTAGTGCCCATTTAGCCACTGACCTATTTCTTTTCTTTTGAGTTGTAAAAATAAGGTCTTTTGTGAATGAATATATATATGAATATGTGTGTGTGTGTGTGTGTGTGTGCACGCGCGCTATTTTTCTTAGTCTATGCCAGACACTAAACTTGTCTCTAGAGTTTTCCAATCCCGAATTGATCATGATAACTCTTAGGAGCTCTCATAGCTATCACCTCCATTAGCCCCACTTAGTATGCAGAACCATATAATTATAGAGATGAAATAAATTGTTCAAAATCATATAGCCAATATGGGAACCCTTCTGGTTGTCACCAAATCTAGTATCTTTGTTTCATAACTTGGTTCCCTATCTCTGTCCTAACCTGTCCTTCTCACTTTCTTCCCCCTGTCCATGCAGGCCCATAACCAAGGTGTAGACTAAGAAGTGGAGCCATGCTTCACACGGCCATACCATGCTGGCAGCCGTTCCTGGGTCTGGCTATGGTGTTCCTCCTCGTGGGATCCACCATCGGCTGTCCTGCTCGCTGTGAATGCTCCGCCCAGAACAAATCTGTTAGCTGCCACAGACGACGTTTGATGGCCATCCCAGAAGGCATTCCCATTGAGACCAAAATCTTGGACCTCAGCAAAAATAGATTAAAAAGCGTAAACCCTGAAGAATTCATATCATATCCTCTCTTGGAGGAGATTGACTTGAGTGACAACATCATCGCCAATGTGGAGCCCGGGGCTTTTAACAACCTCTTTAACCTACGATCCCTCCGCCTGAAAGGCAATCGCCTTAAGTTGGTACCGTTGGGAGTATTCACAGGACTGTCCAACCTCACCAAACTTGACATTAGTGAGAATAAGATTGTTATTTTGCTGGACTACATGTTCCAGGATCTACATAACCTGAAGACTCTAGAAGTGGGGGACAATGATTTGGTTTATATATCACACAGGGCCTTTAGCGGACTACTTAGCTTGGAGCAGCTCACCCTGGAGAAGTGCAACTTAACAGCAGTACCAACAGAAGCCCTTTCCCACCTCCGCAGCCTCATCACCTTGCATCTGAAGCATCTTAATATCAACAATATGCCTGTGTATGCCTTTAAAAGATTGTTCCACCTGAAACACCTAGAGATCGACTATTGGCCTTTGCTGGATATGATGCCGGCCAATAGCCTCTATGGTCTCAACCTCACCACCCTCTCCATCACTAACACCAACCTGTCCACTGTCCCCTTCCTCGCCTTTAAACACCTGGTATACCTGACCCACCTTAACCTCTCCTACAATCCCATCAGCACTATCGAAGCAGGCATGTTCTCTGACCTGATCCGCCTACAGGAGCTTCATATAGTGGGAGCCCAACTGCGCACCATTGAGCCTCACTCCTTCCAAGGGCTCCGCTTCCTCCGTGTGCTCAATGTATCTCAGAACCTGCTGGAAACATTGGAAGAGAATGTCTTCTCCTCCCCTAGGGCTTTGGAGGTCCTGAGCATTAACAACAACCCACTAGCCTGCGACTGTCGACTCCTCTGGCTCCTACAGCGACAACCGACCCTACAGTTTGGGGGCCAGCAGCCCATGTGTGCCGGGCCAGACACCATCCGTGAAAGGTCATTTAAGGATTTCCATAGCACTGCTCTTTCTTTTTATTTTACCTGCAAAAAGCCCAAAATCCGTGAAAAGAAGGTACAGCATCTCCTAGTGGATGAAGGACAGACGGTCCAGCTGGAGTGTAATGCTGATGGAGACCCACAGCCCATGATTTCCTGGGTGACACCCCGAAGGCGTTTCATCACCGCCAAATCCAACGGAAGGGCCACTGTGTTGGGTGATGGCACCCTGGAAATCCGTTTTGCCCAGGATCAAGACAGTGGGTTGTATGTTTGCATTGCTAGCAACGCTGCTGGGAACGACACCTTCACAGCCTCCCTCACTGTGAAGGGATTCACTTCAGACCGCTTCCTTTACGCAAACAGGACCCCTATGTACATGACCGACTCCAATGACACCGTTTCCAACGGCACTAATGCCAATACTTTTTCCCTGGACCTTAAAACAATACTGGTATCTACAGCCATGGGCTGTTTCACATTCCTGGGAGTGGTTTTATTTTGTTTTCTCCTCCTTTTTGTGTGGAGCCGAGGAAAAGGCAAGCACAAAAACAGCATTGACCTCGAGTATGTGCCCCGAAAAAACAATGGTGCTGTTGTGGAAGGGGAGGTGGCTGGACCCAGGAGGTTCAACATGAAAATGATATAAGGGCCCACCACACACCCTATTGTCTTGTGTCACTGTTGGTAATGAGTAAGACGTCTGACGTAGTGAACCACAAGGTTATCAGGCAGCTTCATGCAGCTGCCCCTTTATGAAAGCAGGGTTCATGGAAGCAGGAAGACTCCTTACGGATACTGGCCGGTTAGAGGCAGGCAGGCATGTGTCCCAGCCCTGCACACAATGGGATACTAATTGTTTGCATTGCAAATATTGGCATTCTGGGGATCTCAGTAACGAACCTGAACCTTTGGCTCATGCTGATGGACAACAATCCAACATTTTCTACCACTGCAAAAACAAAAGAGAAAAATAAAAGAGAACAACCTACAGTGTAGGATTTACATATTAAAAAGACACATTTGTCTAAAAACATACTCTACAGTAAAATTTGTATTTATTATTATCATTTGTTAAAACCTTGCATCATACAATACTATTGGTTCAGTACCAAAAAGAGATCAATATATTCTTTTTTTGAAACATATATGCTGTATATGTTTTAAAGCAATATGAATGAGAGGTTGTGCTTTTAGTTACTCACCAGTATAGATCCAAGTGTGATTTCACCTTCCTTTTACCCACCGATAAACCTGAGGCTAGATCCCTGGAGTAACAGGCAGAGATGTGTTGAGATGTGTATGCCTGATGTAGGATGCCAAGAAACAGGACCCAAGTCAAAACTGCTCAACTCTGTTAACTTCTGTTACTATAAATAAAGGCATGTGCCTAGTTTTGATACAGAATGGAATATTTTTTTATACATACACTACCAACCTGGACCAGTTTACTGTAACAGAAGCCTTTGGGTTTCTCCAGAAGGTGGTATATCGCTAGATGTACCTGTAAAATGCAAGGTAGGTGTCATTCATAAAAGTAATTCACTTAGTGAGCCCTTAGTTTTACTTTCATCGGTCACTGTTCATGGGTTAATGACAAATGAAAAAAGAAGTACTGATTATATTTAATTATTTGGCAATATTCATCAGTAGTTGCTATCAATAATTCTGTGGTCCAAAAGCTCTCCATATAAGGAGTTTTCAGAAGTCAACAAAAAGCAGGGTGATCCAAGCACATCATGACAGCATGCAACCAATGATCTTTTTCAAATGTGACAGTTACCTGCCAGATTGCTGCAAGTTAAAGCAGCACACAGCACATGACACTTCCAATTTCTCGATTTAAGCACTATATACATAGTATGACCACAATTAGGTAACTTCAGGATGTTTCCCTGCTTCCTAACCAAGACTTTTCATTTCATGTTGAAAACTATGTTGCGTAGATAAGAGATATCTGTTTTATGTAAAGCAGTGAAAGAAAAACCGGTGCAAATTTAAAAAACCAAGTTTATGTTCCTTCACCAGGGAAAAGCTAAGCTTATGATTCTTCAAATATGTAATGCTGTGTTGATTCTTTCACTTTCTTGACCTGAGCATATTTGTCCAATTCTGTTGGTCTTAATTTTACCAATCAAAAAAAAAATAGTAATTATTATCATCAATGACCTGGTTTAAGGAGGCATAATTCCATTGGCTGAGTTCTGGATAACTTTCAAAGCATATATTCATACGCTCTGAAAAAGTGTTGGATGCAGATTGCATTCCAAAAATGATAGCATTTAATCAGCATGCACCAAGTTCCTACATTGTTCATGTTTTGAGAGGATGTGGAGCGAGATCCCTTGGGGTACTTTGTAAGATATGTGGAAGGAAATGCTGTGGGCCTGACTCTCAAAGGACTAACTTCTTTAAGGGTTTGAAAATATGAAGAACTTTAAAAGCTGAAAAAAATGGAAAAGAACTATCAAATTGCCCTCAGTTTCTAAAAGGCTCACAAGTTGTTTTGCGAACTAGGCTGGTATTACATATAAACTCATTCCTCTTTTTCCAGGGGTAGGAACTAAGATTTCTCTTTTTTTAAAGATTGAAGAATCGCCTGCTTGAGTTACATTTCATTTAGCAACCCTGATGATTATGACAAACATTTTAGAAATTTTAGAAATTCATTTTTCTCTACGTACTTTTTCATATCTAACAATTTGTGTCGGCCTACACCAAATTCTATCAAAATTTCAAATCCTAAGAAGTTAATGCTATGTTCTTACAGTTAAAATGAAAAGACAGTCTTCTAAAAGAGAATCTATTTCCTTTTAATTTTGAAACACCTTAAAGAGTGTGCACTTGGCAAATTATGTGTGCATGTTTGGGGGGTGAACAATTGTTTTTTTAAAAAAGGCATTTTGGTATTCTATTTTCTATCAAAAATTATATTTGACCAAAAATCTGCTGAGGAAAATGAAGTTGGATTCAAGTTAAAAGATAAAATATTTAACTCAAAGATTTATATGTTATTCTATCAAAAGAAGATAGATTAAATTCTCTGGGGGCTTTATTCTCTGATCCATAGAACAGTTAAGATATTATTAAATGACTTTCCAAAATGAAGAGGTACTAACTAATAAATTGAACAAATAGTGCATTCCATAGCGACAAATTATAGATGCAAAGAGATCTGGGCAAGTCTAATACACACTCTCAAAAGTCCTGCCTTTACTATGTTCCACCTCGTGATTTCTCCAGTGTGCTTTGAGGATTAAGTGACATTTTTCCTATTTAATTGTTAGCATCTTCAAAAATTGGAGCTCCATGAAACGCCCAAGTAGTACCCTGCTGAAATTTTCTTAACCCAGTAATTTTAGTAAGAGGACAGTTATTGTCAGCATAAATAACTGTTCAGACCACGATATCATATTTACCAGATTTTTTCCCAGGGGAATTGGCAACTTCTTGCCTAAATCAGTATACTGAAGGATTTATACAAAATTGAATGGGCATCTAATTTCTCATTTTCTCCCTATTAATACAAATCATCGGGATTTGCAAGGCACTGTCATTCCACTGACCATAGCACTGAGGCTTTTGTGTACAGTTTCACAACAGGATTGCATGAATTTTTCTTTATGGTCATTACTGTGTTACATCAAACAAGACCTTTATAAAGAATAACTGCTCAGACCAGTATTGTGACCAATCATCCCTCTAGACCCTTCCACTTCTGAGTTCTTGCTTTAATGTATCCTAAGAAGGAACACAACTATTTGACCGCATAGTTGACCAGTAGCGTGTATGTTATAAGCATTTTCAAAAAAAGCAATGACTCTTTTTAGCATTGAGTATAAGAAAATTCCCTGACTGAAGCCCTACTACTCTAAGTTGATCACGGATCCAAATGCTGGCAAACAAATTACTAGAAGAAGACAACTCACCCAGATAATATGGGTTCGCTGTGCTGGTAAGCAATTTTTGGTTTTCGCAGAAATCCTTGTATTATTTTCTTTTCCAGCCCCCTTTCATTTCCGTAGCATTTGAAATCATGTGCTTTCCAAGCATTTTCAAATTCTGAAACTACAGTCCAGAAATTGTTAAGCCTCAAATGTTCATAAAGACATTTGTAAAAGCTCTGGGTTTGTTCATCTTTCTCAGAAATTTTGCTTATCCACGACAGTTCTGTTACAGAACAAATGTATTCAGAATTTGCTCTTTTCTCATTGTTCTGTCAGAGACTCTGTTCTCAGTTCACATAGGAGTTCAAAAGTCACAATCTTCTGTGACTCTTTCTCAAAAAAGAGGGATTATTTAAATTTCATCTCCACTGGAGCCTGACTTATGTCGCTTTCCGTTCCTCCAGTTGGAACAGATATCTTTCTGGATTAGAGGCACCGAAGACGGGGTATGATCCTTAAGAAGTAAAATTGCGTAGAGCCCCGTGTAAATTAACTTTTACTTACAGGGTTTTCCTTCATCTCTCTGTCAGAGCATTTCTTTTATCTTCAGGGGCTGTGCACAGAACTGTGAAACAACACAGAATGTATCTCGAGGCTCTATAAAAAAGAAAAAATAGATCATTTTCAACCGAGAAGACTCAGACCTGACAGAAAAGACATCAAGAATTTAAAGAAAGGCTGGAGGGAGACACGGGGATCTATTTAAATTCTGTTTCCTTTATTGCTCATTTTTATAGTCTTCTCCCAGCTGAAAAAGAATTGGTGGTTGTGCTTCTTTGCCAACTTCTATCATTTCTACTCTTCTCTCCTTTTCTGAGTCCTTGCTGTCTGTAGCTCACATGGGATCCAAATGCATTCTGTGGGGGTGTGGACCAACTTAAACACCAAATCAAAACAGTAACAGCAAACCTTTGGGACCAAAGCCATCAATTCTACTTGGTAGTTAGGGTTAAGATGTATTATTTTATCACTGACATGAACATTTTTTGGTAGAATAATGTAACATGTCCCTAGTTATTTCCATTGACTTTCTTCTATTCGATCCCATTGGTCTAATACCCTTGATATTTTCTAATAAATTTTTTGGAGTTATTCTGCCTTCATATAAAAAATCAGGAAATAAAATACCATTTTTCATCTGCTTTTCTAGTTTTCTAAATTTGGCTAGGTGGCAGAAGGTGTTTCTTGGTACATGACAAACACTTGATTTGAATCTCTCTCCCTTTCTGCCTTCAAAAGCCATTCCCATGCTAACCTCCTCACATGGGAGCCAGCAAACTATTATTGGGGGAAGAACTTTTCCCCACACAGGCCAAGGAGAAGAGAGATGAGGGCTTATTTGTTGTGGTCTTGACTAAGCTGGGACTTAAACCTCTGCCTACAAGGTTCACGAAGAAATGATGCCATAAGTCAACAATTAATGGCAGGCTTTCTAACACGAAATTGGTCTGTCCATTAAAAGACAGTAAATGTAGCTGCGCACTTCCTCCAGAGTAAGCAGGATCTTGTGTGTAGTCAGCTTCTCAACAGATGGCCAAGACGAAGCCCTCGTGACAGAAACAACCAAAGGCGTGCCTAAGATGTGTGCAAACAGGCTAAAAGCCAGAGGTGAACAGATACTTCTTGTTCCAAATGTAGGAATCTGAACAAGTTAAGGTCCCGTGAGTTTCAGACTACTATCCTTCAGTTTGCTTCAACACTTCTTCTCCCTCAGCCAAGCTTTCTGCAAGTCACCCTGAAAAGAATGGAGGAAGCGGCAGTGTGGGCAGCAGACTCCCCCTAGCATCGAGGAGCAGATTCCAAGGCCCACTAGGCCTTGTGACTGTGCACACCTCACTATTGGCAAGATTTAATTTAAAAATAAGGCACAGTGGGAGCTTCACGGCACTAATAGTAAGCTAGAACAACAAGTGTATTTTAATTTCCAGTTGGAAATTGACCACCAGTGGTAAATCCCCAGGCAGAGGAAAGCCTGGGTAACCTCCTATCTTCCTGGCTCTTTTTCGGAGGCCACAACTGAAACGATCACTTCTTCCCTGCTTGTCTGTTCCTCATGTCATGTCTCATGAGCGAAGGCTCTCTCTAGGGAGAAGTCTTCTCTCATTAGAGCTAAGAAATCCTTGGATATATGTTAAACTGGAAATTGCCTCAAAAAAAAAAAAAAAAAGAAAGAGAAGGCACAGGAAACACCCAGTCTTTCTCATACAGCACTAGAAGTTAAGGTTTCTCATTCACATAATCGTAATCTGGCAGCAACCTACCAATCTCTCTCTCTCTCTCTCTCTCTCTCTCTCTCTGTCTCTTCTACAAGCAGGTGGGCTGATATAAAGTCAACTTTAAACAGAAAGCTTTATTTATAGTCTTTGCAGAGAACAGTTAACATTTTTAAGAAAAGTTCTACCTGTAAAGTACTAAAAAGCTTTAGAAAAAAAAAACAAAATTGTGACTGTGTGCTTTAAATCAGTTAAGTACATTTTAATCTCCATACTGTTCCAAAGGTAACTGCCCATGCTGAAATTAGATCTAAGAATTTTGCTTCTGATCTAGCAGGGCCAAAAGGAGCAGACATTGGCTACATGTGTCAGCTTCCTTCATTGGGTTGCACACCTCCTATTCTGAATTGCTTTAACATCCTTATTCTGCACTGCAGAATAATTGATAAAATCTATAAGCTGTATGATCAAGAAATACTAATGAAATTGAAAATTTAACACAGACGTGTGGAATTGTTTCGCATATCTTATGGCAGTATGTCCACTCACACACTTGGCTGTGTGCATATCTGTGTGGTAAGACAAGGGAAACGGGGTTATGAGCTATAAATAGAGACTGTGTTATGGTTATTTGACAGAAAACGCCTTCTTTTCTTCCCTGGCTATAAAATCGGGTACTTTGTGCCTACCTGGGTCATTTAGTACACAATATACTTGTCTTTACATGATGTATCCGTAAAGTATGGAAAGCCCCACGTCATAATCAGTGGCAAAGCTATTGTTTATATCTACGTATATGAATATGTGTGGTGGGTGGCTTTTTTTTAGTGTTTAAAATGTAATTGTTTTAAAAGGTGGTAAGCTTGAAAAGGAGAGAGAAAAATGAAACAAATTTTATGTATGTACTTATTTAAATTTTTTTAAAATCAAAATCCCACTTAAGTACTGAACCATATTGGACATTACTAATCAGAAGCCTAACAAAACTTTTCTTCAGATGCCTGAAAGCCTGTTTTTGTTCTTAAAGGAAATTAGTGCTAAAGACAAAAGGGTCTTGATTTAGATTTATGTCTTGTTGTCTGTTATTACTGCGTAATTATCATGGGCATGTGGGGTTTTTTTAAACATTTATAAACAAGTCAACTTATCAACATGAAATGTTAGAAAACATATTCTGTTTCCTGATGAAAAGGGCTTAAGCACCTATTATCTCAGCTAAATATGTTGTGGTATTGTTTTTAAAATGAAATGTATAATTTTTTTAAAAAAGCAATTTGAGTCCTATGGGAGACATCTCATTATTGATAAAGGTAGGTTATAGTAACTTCATAAGCAACGTAAGACTGTTGGAAACATGAGCACCAGACAGATAAGAGGACTGTGTTCAACAGTGAAGGAAGATGCATATCCAATCAGATCCGATTCTGATGATGGAATGAGTCGTGATCAAGGAGAGGACAGGCTG